GCTATCTAATAATAAAAAAAAAAATTGATTCTTGTGCACCTTCATCTATATCATTAACTGTTTTTGGTTTTTTAATGGTTTTTCTTGGTGATGAAAATTCCGATATCTCACGGTTATCGATTCTTTTTCCTCTCCAGAAATGCGGACGACAGTGTTTTTAGATACTCCTGTGGCTGCAGCAACACGATCATTTACATTTTTAAATGGTATTGAAGGTGAATTAAAGTTTCCCTCTCTTCTCATAAACTCTATAACATTGGCTATTATTTCGCGAGATTGACTGTTAATCACGCGGCCTCTTAATTTGCTATTAAACTCCATACTTAGGTTCTATTAAACTGTAATGAGCAAAAAACACAAACGAAAATAAAAGAAATGTTTTAGCGAAATTTACATCTGACATTTACGTCTGAATAAAATAGTGAAATACTTGATGCGCAGAGTGTACTTTCATTGCGTAAATCCGTCGGGATGCCTGTCAGTAGTGCTTTCTCTGTCTAGCCGTCGAAAGCCTCTAGAAATTTGATGAACTGTATATGGTTTATGACATGTAACCATGCAGTTTAATATGAAGGCCAGTGAATGTAATATTATTAAATGCGTTTAAGATTATTTACCTCAATTATATAATCAGGAATTCCGCGTATATATTATCTTTAAGAAGTCTCCATAAAAACAATCGCCGCAAAGGCCGTTATCTGTATCTATTTGTTTCTAACCATTTACTTGGAAATCTATTATTGAACAGGACCGAACTAACAAAAATTCCTAAAGTTAGTTTATTCTCAAAACCTAATAAAAAAGGAGATACGTGGTTAGATAGAGAAAAAAGTGATTTTAAAAATGAAATAAAACGCACAGGTCAATATTAAAAATAAAATTGTCGAGGAATAATGCCCTTTAGATGAAACGTCATTTTGATAATTTGACTAAGTTATAAACTTAATAATTTTTTTTTAACTTAACACAAAGGTGTTAATTGTTAATTAAATAAAACGAAAATTGTCAGTTTTGTTCTCGTCTAAAAATCTCGGAAACCGAACCTGATATTTTAATTTTGAAAAAGAAATAAATTCAACTTGAAAATACGCGTCTTTTTTCCAATTTTACCAATTTTGTATTTACACAGTGTGTCATTTCGCTTAAAATAAGAGATAGAGGTCGGTGTGCCGTTAAAAAACTGATTGACAGGTAATGCCAATTAAATATTATGTTCTTACGTTTAAATGTCTCAAATAATAAATTATATTGATATGTATTGTAAGCTTCTGCTTGGTTTTTATAAGTGATGACTTAGCAAAAATGATACACACTTGCCATTCATAGTGAGGGGCCAGGGGGGCGGAACGGAGCTGGCAGGGATTTGACAAAAAATAAGAAATGAGAACAGATTAGAGAAGTGTGATTGATCGGGCGGTGGTACGCTGGCTCCGGATCGCTAGTAACATTTCTTTAATTGATTGTTAATTAATACCGTATTATTATCATCCGTATTTCTTTAATCATTATTTGTGTATCGTCGTTTAAAGTGTTGTCAACATTGTTTATTGTTCTATATTGCATTAGCAAGTTTTACAAGTGTTAAATGTGGTATTTTGTCATAACAATGTCTGACGGTGACGTCCTAAATATCCGAAATCCGACATGTATTAGTGGTATTTGTTTTGCCAGACTTTGTATACCTACTGAAAGTCACGAGAAACACATCTGGCCAATTATAATATCGACATTTGGCGATAATTCAGAAGTGTTTATGTTCTCGATATTTAAACAAGAGCTACTTTTAAAATAAATAAAACTTTTTAGAAAAACTTGTGGATTTTTATTTATTAACTCGATAAAACTTCAACAAATAAACATTTATGTTATCGATATTTAAACAAGAGCCACTTTTACTAGGCTAATGACCTTAGATGTTGAAGCCGTACACTAAAGAAAAAAAAAAAAAAAATAAAACGTTTTAGAATAACTTTTGGATTTTTATTTATCAACTTGAGAAAACTTCAACTAATAAACATTTCTATAACTACTTATTTTAAAGTTAGTGTACTCGTATATCATAAGTGTAAATAATAGATTATAAGTTTGTGCAACAAGGGTGTATATGATGGCCATATCGCAGGAAGACGAAATTTGAGTACGACGCCGTAGGCGGAGTGCTCACTCGTCTGAGCGCTATGTGGACAATCCACTCGAGTTATGCAGTATATTCTTTCTACGACCCACTAACGAAAATTTACAAACAAAAAAATATTTTAGGTTATTAAGACAAAATAACTAATTTTAAAATAATTTATGACTTTTAATAATTTTTAAGATAAAATAAAAAAAAAGTTCATTTCATTTTTCGCCATTCGAGAATCGAACTCCAGTCTTTCGGGTGGAAGACAAGAACGTTAACCACAGGACCCACCTACTCTTGTATTTTTGTTGCTTTAATTGACTTCATATAGTTTTATTTAAATTAACAAATTATTTATAATAGACGAAATACAAACAGAAATGCTATTCTTTATCGATTCCACACAAGAATAACCCATGTTTAATCTCAATAACTAAAACATATACTGACAATTAGTTTGACAGAACTGTCACTTATTCAAAATTTTAAAAATAATAGCAGTTGGTTGATCAAAATATGAACGGTGATTGGTGGATTCCATTTTTTTGCAGTGTTTTCACTACCTAGAATGGATATGAAATATATTCGTTCAGTTGAAACCAATAGCATATTTTCTCGTTTTGTAATCTGTGCGTAGATAAGCTAATATCCATGTGGGTGTAGAAAAAAATTATTTAATGTTCACTTCAACACCTTCCCTCATTAAATTTTTTTTTAGTTGTTTAGTCCTAAATCGTGACATACCATTTGTGGTCTTGATCTAAATAGTGGTTTGGCCTTCATATCTGCTAGTTGGAATTCAGTGGCAACTTTATGTACTTCAATTGATCCTTCCATGTCTAGCTTCGGCCATCATAAAACTTATACTAACATACGGTACAGTTGTCTGGGTACCGAACACCCAAAAATTGACAGCTATCTGCAAACTAGAACATATTCAAAGAACAGCACGTTTCAACATAACAGGAGCCATGAAAATAACATCGACCAGAGTCGTAGAAGTGATTCTTAGTCTCATTCCCCTTGATATTTACATCAAGGAGGTTGCTTTGATAACAATGACACGCCTCCGCACGGTTGGAATCAAACCTGATGTAGAATCAGCATTGGGATTCTCATCTTTCAATTCGGCATGTGTTGAGACGACTACCTTCGTTTCACAGAATGCGATTCGTATGTAATGTTTCTCTCTATTCAATTTTTTACGTGTTGAGTACGCACATAAGAATCCCTGTCCTGGTTAGGCGAAACGTGAACTTAATCTCACCAAGATATATCTTCCGTAAGCTATATAAAGTTATAACAGAATAAATAGAAGAATCGAAAGTGGCAGGTACGATTCATATTTACACCGACGGTTTTAAAACAAAACAAGGCTCAGAATGTGGAATATACTTCAGATCTTTAAACCTAACCATAAAATGGGCTCTGAGCAGTAGTGCCAGTGTTGTTTAAACAGAGCTCACGGGGATTCTCATAGCAACAAAAGAAATCACCAGAAAGAATATCACTGGAAGGAACATGTTAATCAATACAGATAGCTGACAAGCACTACTCCCCTCCGAAAAAACCACAAATTTACTCAGGATTAGCACTAGAATGTTACGAAGCTTTGGCCGAAGTATCCATCAACAATGTGGTCACCTTAAGATTGATCAAAGGTCACGCTACATCGAAAGGTAACCATATTGCTGATTGACTGGTCAAGAAAGCAGCCAACCGAATACTTTTTGGACCGGGTCCTTCTATTGTCCTGACAAAATCGGTAGTGACAGGAAAGATGAGATGAAACCATAAACTGCTGGGTTTGCCAGAAAGTTTCTAAGTTATCCTGACAACACTACAGCAAACAAATACTTTACTATGACTAGACCGAATCTTCGCTTGGTAACGGGCATTCTGACTGGTCATTGCCAAATACCGAAGCATCTCCATATCATGGGGTTGTCAGAATCCGCACTCTGCAGGGGGTGCGAACAAGATGAGACCATCGACCATATCCTCTACGATTGCCCGACGTTCTCATTTAATAGAACATTTGCGTTCGGCTTCCGGAATTGTCGGTTTAGTCGTTTTAACCTGTCAGATTAAAACAAGAAAACCGACAATTCCGAAGAAGCGGATGATTAAAACGCACCTATTAAAAATATTGCGCCAAGATGTAGGCAACACGTAATAAGGGATCAAAATGGCGGAGTTTTCTATCTCCTTTAAAAAGGTACTCAGAAAGCTGCGCAGTGCGACCATTCTCCGTATAGTAAAAGAAAATCAAAGTATGTGGACCGTGCCCTATGTTGGGCGTGTCGGACCTCTCTCTTGTACCGTATAGTAATCAAAGTATGTGGCATCAACATAATCGAGTCGATGGATTTGGTAACAACTTGATGTATGAATAAAAGAACAGTTTTGATGAATCGATGAATATTAAAAAAACGCCTTTTGTGTTATCCAAAGGTTTATAACAAGTAAATTTATTTGTTTGACAAATGATGTCAGCCAACCAAATTTAAAGACTACTATTAACAAGAGGATAGCTGAATTAGTTCAATATATGCTGGGATAACTGTGACGTCACTCGGTGGATACTTTTAAAGTCATCCCATTTAAAACGTACATCGATACACACTTTTTTTACATTGCGAAGTTTAACATTTTTAATTTTTAAAACAAAAAGTATTTCAGATATTCAAAAGATTATTTTGACCCGGAGAGATAATTAAACACATTCAAAATTTATAGGAGTATAAAAAAGAGACCGGCAATGTAATGTGTTTTTGTATATTGAAAAATGAAAAAACATTTTTTAATATTCTAATAAATAATGGCACATTTATTATGTTTTGCAAACTTTTCTTATTTCTTTTTTTTTTATTTTTAGAACTAGAAACCTACCGTTTGTGTCCGGTGGCAGCACATCCAATACATTATTCACTAAAAATAGAGCCAAATTTCGAAAAAGACAATTTTTTCGGTGAAGTGTCAATAGTTGTGAGAACCCAAAGGGACTTAGATGGTATAATCCTCCATAGCTCCAATTTAACAATATCAGAAGTGACGATTAATCAAAAAACTGCATGTTATAAGGAACTACAATATCAAAAGTTAAAGGTGTTTTATCAAAATGAAAATATTCAACCAGGGGAGCATATCATAAATATTAAATATATTGGTCTGATCGCAAAGAACAATGGGTTCATTCGAGCTACATTTGGAAATGAAGATAATGAAGTGTAAGTATTCAGAACAGAATTTTTAAATATTTTCGTTTTCCAAAGGATGTCTCCAAAAATTTGTTTTTCCATTTCCGTGCATAGGTACTGTAGCGGTTTTATCTAAGGTTTATAAATTCTACTGTTACCTAATTTAGTTGAAAATTGGTCTTATGACGTGAATATTAAAAATTGACCAGTACAAATTAAAGATCAATCTGTTCGCGGAACCACAAGAATAAATAATAACCAGAAGGATATCTCTCATTTAATTCCGTTGTAGTTGATGCCGACGAGCTATGACCTCGTCTGTTAGTCATTACTTGTATTCCATAGACGCACCGAAAAAAAGGTCAGGAAAATAAAAAAAATATTGGGTAGCTATTGATTTATTTTTTAAGTTCATACAATAGAAATATAAGTAAAAGATTTATATATATAAAAAAAATATTTACTTACCTTTCCAAATGACAACCTTTTTGTCTTTTATAGTTTTAAAATTAAATAAATATGTGGAAATTTTTCACATGGATGTGAAAAACTTGTATTTCTACAAATACTTTGAAACGTGTCTATTACATTTTTGTGTATAATAATAGTTTCAAAATTTATTTGAAATATTACCTCTAAAAAGGAGATAAATTTTACAAAATCATTGTGTGGCATGTTTAAGTTACCAAATAAATCTAAATTGGAGCTGTTATAAGCTTTATAGTAACAAAATAAAGATGTATCGTCCAAATTTTGATAGGCTTTTGAATATTCCTCGCAAATTGTACAAGACTGTATAGATAGGCATTTTTTCATTAGGTAACCCGCAAAATACCTTTCGAAATTCGTTTCTAACGTGGACTCTTTTTGATAACTGCTATCAATTTCTGGCAAATTTGATGTATGGGGATGTGTATGAGCTACGAATGAATTTGTATCCTCTTTAATGACATCAGATACTCGCAGAAGCATATATCCATGTCATTCTCGCAGTTTTGAGTTCCTGAATTAAGTAGCTTTACACAGAACAACTTTCTAAAGGTTCTTTGAAATTGAATGGCTGCTGGATTAGCACAATTACTATTTTGCTGTCTTATAAGACTAAACAAATTTTCTAACGGATCTTGGTTTAAACGTCTAGTAAAAAGAAACTTAACGTTTCTTGTTTTAAGAAAATCCCATAAATGAAGAATGGGGCTAATTGTTATTTTAAAACCTCGCCTAGGTTAATAAAAACTTTTAAGTTGTCCAACAGCAATAACATCTCATTTAAAAATGTCAGTTGAAAGTCGACACCCTTAAACCCGAGAATACCGATCAAGGAGAAGCGACAGCTTGGTGTTTTCAGTGTACCGTTTTGTAACGCGCATGTGCGAAAATAAGTTGTGTATCACTCAAAATTATGTTATCTGTCAAAGTCAGTCCCAGTTGTGTTAAGTACGTGAGCAATGTTAAGTGATATTTTTTGGTGTGTGTTTTGTGTAGTAATAAGTAAGAAGATTTTTACACACTTAGGTATTCTAATACAGATATAAAATGTGCCAAAAAAGTTATTAGGAAACTAAGAATTTTATCACATGCATAAATATTAAGTATAATGATTTAATCATTTTTGACATTTTATTTTTCATATGTAGGTATTGTATTTTGTGAAATATATGTTTTTCTTCTTTTAAATAAATTTAATAAACAATGAATTGCAGATTTTGTTTATTTTATTTTGAAATTATATTTAAAAAAATATAATAAATTCGCGTATTTCAATTAGGATTGGTCAAAGTGGGCAAACTCCCTTTATTATGGCTAAATTGTAAGTTACAATTATGTCAATATAAAGATGATTTGCTTATTCATATTAACATTAAATGTTAATTTATTTAATTATTTATTGAATGAATCATACTGGAGTTGATTTTGGAAATATTGGTGCATACTTAAATAAGTACTATTTCTAAAAATTCGTCTATGCACACATAGTCCAATGGACGTCCACTTTAGATCTATTTGAGGGTCAGGACGTCCATATCCGGGCATCCAGTGTACGTCCGTTTATGCTAATTAAATTGACAGCTGAATATCGATACCCAGAGAACGTCTGTTTTTGGACTTAATTTTAAGTTCAGTAGTATTTTGACGTCCAGTGGACGTCCATCTTAGGTCATTATTTATTAAGCCTACCAGATAATACCCATCTATATATACTTCTTTTTTTTAATATAACTGGTCATTAAAAATTGGCAAATTGAATCTATTGCGTTTCATTCTATCAGCGGAAGTTTGAAATCTTATTCAATTATAACTGTATCTAGTAAAAAGTTTTCAAGTGGTTCCTTGGTCGATCTCGTCTAGCGATTGAAAGCGTAAAACGATAATGGATGTGTCGTGAGTTCGATACCTGCTCAGGTCAAGCGATTTTTAATAAAAAATAAATAAATGGTGTATAGCGATTTGCGAAAATAATAAACAAATTATTAATAATATAAAATAGTGTGTGGTGAGTTGCGGTTCTGTAAAAAAGTGGGGATGTGGTCTCAATGGAAATATAATCCTGGACGTTTTTTGAATGTCCAGTATTCGACGTCCAAATATATTCCAGAATTGGACGTCCTCTGAATGGTCAAAAGTGTGCCATTTGTATACTTCACTGGACGTCCATTGGATGTCGGAAGTCCAGAAAACTTATTTTTTGACGTCTAGACATCCAAAATTGTATATCTAATGGACGTCCAATGGACATATTTGTATTGTCTGGGTAATAGCCAGGCCAGGTATTTAACTCTAAATACATAAACCTTAAATGACATCTGGTTTAACTTGGCGAGAAAAGACTTGTTTCTACAGAAATGAGTGATAAACTTGAAAGTCCTTTTAATATAATATAAATCTAGAAATTCTAAAAATATGTAAGTACTTTTTAAACCTAAAAGCTTTGAAAATATATGCACATTGCAAATATTTAGTTCAACCTCTCAAACATGTCTTTTTAATTGTTAAATTTTTTTTGACACTCTTAATTTTATTTACCTTATTTTTAGTTAAGGAAAAGGTAATTGAATATAAATATGGGGCTTTTATTACATTTTTAACAATAAATAAACCAAATATTGAACAAATTTTATAGATAAATTATAAAATAATAAACGTCTTTTACTTTTATAATAAATAAATAATTAATTATTACATAATGAATTATATTTTGGTGCCGAAATTTCAGAATTGCTATTAACCCTAACTACTTCAATGTAATTAAATCACATTGCAACATTTGCGCATGGACTATAACAATAATTTCAGATAATTTGCCAAACTATTTTGCTCATTGTAGAAAATAAGCATGTTTTCTCAGCGTGCTAAGTTGTGTATCAGTCAAAGTCATACTGTGAAAAAGGTACATCCGATATCAAAGTTTAAAATATCAAATAATTTGTCGATTTTATCAATAAAATCAGCAGTTCATTAGAAAAGTTACCTAATTCGACGTACACATTTAAAGCCACTGAAACTGTAAGACTAAATACCCGACTTGCATATTTTACCTTCATTTTTTCAAAATTACTAGGAAATATATGCGAATCAGTTAGTTTAGGCGCTGATCTAGTAACTAACGACTTATCAATATTATAAAATTGCATAATATATGACCAAGAAACTATTTTATTAGAAACAGGAAAAGTACGTTTCAGTAACATGTTTATCATAGCCTTGATGAGGTGAGGTGTATCGAAAATAAAAAAAAAATGTTGATCGTCAAAAATAAAATAAGGTCTCTCAGGGGTTATTTGCAAAAAGTTTTTACATTAAATATTATTGGAGTCCATATCACTTAGGGTAACAATAACGTTCAGTCCAATATTCATTACTTTTTAATAGCATCAAAAACTATATACTTTAACTCTAAACCAGGGCATGTATACTATTGTAAAAAAAATAACTCAAAGGTTGCTTCCAACTAGAGAAAATTTACCTGGCCAACAAGACAATGACTGTTCTTGCTGCTTTAAATACTCTTTTCCCATTGCCGGGATCTTCCACGCCTACAACATAATCCGCACTATAGTTAAAAAAAATTGGCTTTATGCTTATCTCATCCACACACAGTACACAATATTTGCCCATTTCATTAAAATTATCAACTTTAATTTTAAGTGTTTTGAACACATTGGAGACTTCCAAACCTGGTGGTATGTCTATCCCACGTAATAATATTCTAAGGGATTGCGGCCCAGGCAGGCAAAATAATTTAGTTAGAAGTGTTTTATAAACCTTTGGGCCAGAGGAATATAGTGATAAATACTTAAATTTAAATTCGTCCGAATACCTTCGACCTTTAGCTGATTTCATGCTTTGGGTAATCTGAACATTAATAAATTCTGCGAGTTCTTTGGATGGGCACAGTAAATACGTACAAGTTTTGTACTGTTCGAGAGTGATCGTGTCTTCCAATTTTTCTTGAAGCTTCTTTTCAAGATTGTTACATTTATTAAGAAGGACCTGGTTATCACTTTTCAACGCTTTGTTCTCAAATTTTAGGGCATTGTTGATCTCTCTTAGTTTTTCCTTTCTTGGGCTTCAAAAAGTTAGTTCCTCTGATGTTTGGACACTCCGTGAAGGAAAACGTATTGGAGACCGCTGAATCGATTCTGCCTTATCGGAAGTTGCCAATGGTTAAAGCTGATGGTTCCAAAAGCTGATATAAAATACTCGTACATGGTACTTGAGAGGTTTCAGTGCTAGAAGTCGATGTACATGGAACTGCTTCGTCAATGATGCCACTTGAAAAGAATTTGAGTGGAACTGCATCGTTTTGCGGTATTTGTCTCTTTCCTTTTTGGAACATCCGTGAAGAAAAATTAACATCACAAATTCTATAGCTCTTGCGAAGAGAGTCTACTTTGTATAATAAATCTGGACTATAACACGTTAAGAGCCAAGATTTCGCTCTGAAAAAAGATTTACACTTATTTTTCATTTTATTTAACCTGATAGCTTCAGACTTCCATTGTCTGAGATAGAGTATAAGCACTTAAAAA